TTTGACAGTCTCACTCTGTTGCCGGGGCTAGAGTGCTGTGGTGTCAGCCTCGCTCACAGCAACCTCCAACTCCTGGGCTCAAGCCATCCTCCTGCCTCAGCCTCCCGAGTAGCTGGGACTACAGGCATGCGCCACCATGCCCGGCTAATTTTTTCTATATATTTTTAGTTGTCTAGCTAATTTCTTTCTATTTTTTTTAGTAGAGACGGGGTCTGGCTCTTGTTCAGGCTGGTCTCTAACTCCTGCCCTTGAGCGATCCTCCCGGCTTGGCCTACCAGAATGCTGGGATTACAGGTGTGAGCCACTGCGCCCCTTGCCTTTTACTGAGAGTTTTTTTGTCTAGTTTTACTGTCAATTGATGAGGAAAAGAGATTAAAGATTAAGATCATGGATTTATATTGTTTTTTCTTAAATTTTGTCAAATTTTTGCTTTATGTATTTTGAAGCTCTTTTAATATGTACATACATATTTATGATTTTTTTTATTAATTGACATTTTTATTATTATGAAATGTCCCTCTTTATAGTTACACTTTTAGTTTTGAAATCTATTTCATCTGTTATTAATACAGCCACTCCAGTCTTATGCTTACTGATTACATGATTTCTTTTTTTTCATGTAATTACTTTCAATCAATTAGTTTCTTATTATATATTTAAATGTGCTTATTGAAAACATGAAGTTGGTTCTTGGTTTTATAATTTATTTGGACAATTACTATCTCTAAATTGGAGTTTAGTCCATTAAAATGTATTACAATTATACGGTTGAGTTTAAGGTTTCTATGTTGCTATTTTGTCTCCTTTCTTTTTCTCTGTTCTTTTTTTTTTTTTTTTTTTTTTGTTGCCCAGGCTAGAGTGAGTGCCGTGGCGTCCTAGCTCACAGCAACCTCAAACTCCTGGGCTCGAGTGATCCTTCTGCCTCAGCCTCCCGGGTAGCTGGGACTACAGGCATGCGCCACCATGCCCGGCTAATTTTTTATATATATATCAGTTGGCCAATTAATTTCTTTCTATTTATAGTAGAGACGGGGTCTCGCTCTTGCTCAGGCTGGTTTTGAACTCCTGACCTTGAGCAATCGCCCGCCTCGGCCTCCCAAGAGCTAGGATTACAGGCGTGAGCCACAGTTTCTCTGATCTTTGTTTCCTACTTTCTTCAGTGTTTTTTTAAATTTCATTTTAGCTTATAAATTGGCTTCTTAGTTATGACTTTTTAAATTTATCGTCTAAAGATTACAATTACAGATTCCTGGTGCTCTGAAATTTATTAAAATGCTTTTTTCAGGGGGATATCAATAAAAGTTTTTTACAAATCCTTACGTTTTCTCTTTATTCAAACTGCATAGTTCCTATTGATCTATTTTAAGGTCTCTTTCCTTTATCTCTATTTTTTCTTACATTCATTGTATATTTTTCATTTTAGATATTTTGTGGTTTTATAAATTTCCATTTGTTTCCTTTTTATAGTTTTTACCTCTGAGATTTCCTGTCTTTTGATTCATTATGAGCTTTCATTATGAATGTTTTCCTTTACATCATTGGGAATAGTTATAATAGCTGCCTTAAAATCTGTTTTGTGTTAATTCCAGTCTGGGTCATCTCAGGGTTGATCTTTGCTGATTTTCTTTTCTTTTGAGAGTGGGTCACATATTTCTGCTTTTTCCGACGTCGAGTGATCTTGGGCTGTAACTGGACGGTGTGAGTGTTGTATCCTAGTGATCTGTATTCTGTTGCATATTTCTCTGAAGAGTACTGATTATTTTTGTTTTGCTAGGCAATTGATGTGGTTGGAATCAAATTTCAAGCTCCATCATTTGGGTGACAGCTCCAATCTCGGTTAATTATCACCCTTCTTGACTGTCTTCCTGCCGTCCGCCCGGGTCAGGGCTCAGCCAGCGATCTGGGCAGAGCCAGGCACGGGTTCGGGCTCGCTCTCTGCGGTGCCTTCTCCCTTTCCAGCACTTGTGGCTTCTCTGAACCATCCTCGGCTTTTTTAGGCCAGAAAGATGGTGGTTTTCTATCAGATTTTTAGCTGTCCGCCAAGATGCTGACTGTGACCTTCCCTCAGAATACAAGCCCTAAAAATGGAAATGCCCTGCTCCTTTCTGGATTTTCATGACTTTCCAGACTCTGCTCACTTTCCCTCATTCTCCAGAGCCTTCAGGCAGATGCTTTTTGTACTTTGTCTGGAGTGTATAGTTGATGAGTGCAGAAGGATTAGTCTATTCCTTCACCATACTCAGGGTGGAACTTCGCATGGACATGTGTTTGCCAGGTAGGGCCACGTGCCTGAGTCCTGGCCAGTGGCCTGCAGGAGGGAGAGCTGTGTAGCATGCTGTGCGAGGGAGCACAGCCTTAGAAGGAAGTTGCTTGCATCCTCCTTTTCATTTTTCTTCCCTTGTGTTCTTTTTTTGAGACAGAATCTCACTCTGTTGCCCTGGCTAGAGTGCTGTGGCGTCAGTCTCGCTCTCAGCAACCTCAAACTCCTGGGCTAAAGCGATCCTCCTGCCTCAGCCTCCCAAGTAGCTGGGACTACAGGCATGCGCCACCATGCCCGGCTAAGTTTTTGTATATATATTTTTAGTTGGTCAATTAATTTGTTTCTATTTTTAGTAGAGACGGGGTCTCACTCTTGCTCAGGCTGGTCTCGAATTCCTGCCCTTGAGTGATCCTCATGCCTCTGCCTCCCAGAGTGCTAGGATGACAGGCGTGAGCCACCACGCCCGGCCTCCCTAGTGGTCTTTGACCACACGGATGAGGGTTGAGCCTTAGGGGACGGCAGAATGATAAGAAGGAACCTTGGAACCCAGGTAGTCCCATGACACAGAGCCGCCGAGCTGCCCTCGAATGCCCACCTACTTCTCGACTGTCATGAGACACGAATTCCTATCTTGTTTCAGCCACTGTATTTTCGATCTATTTGTTACAGCAGCTCAGGCTACTTCCTAATTATGCTAAAAATCCCTGGAGTTTCTATCTTTGGGATCCCCAATAATTGGATGTAGGATAAAAACCAGTTACCTAGTTATGTAGCCAATGTCAAATGACTGGTTGTCCCTAGTTTCTCACTTTCTTTCTCATTTTTTTAAACGAGAAAGAAATTTTTAAATTTTTTTAATTGAGGTATAATTAACATATAATGCACAGATCTTAAATGTTCAATTTAATTTTGACAATTATATACACATATGTAGGGGAGAAAAAATATGTTTTCTTCTGTCCACCTTAGGTTCATAGCTGAGGCCCCATAACAAAGACAGATTAACAAAAGAAAAGCATAAAATTTTATTTAATGTTAAGTTTTCTGTGACCCAGGAGCCTTCCTGCAGAAATGAAGACGCAAACAGGTAAAGTGTGAGGACTTCATACTAGGTTTGATGAAGAGTGAAAGTCGTGGAGAAATGTAATAAGGCGAGAGGGGTATGACTATGGCAGAGGTCCCCAACCTTTTTGGCACCAGGGACTGGTTTCACGGGAGACAATTTTTCCACGGGACAGGGCGGGGCATGTGGCGGGTGGGGATGGTTTCGGGATGATTCAAGCCCATTGCATTTATTGTGCACTTTGTTTCTCTTACTGTCGCGTTGTGATATAGGGTGAATCATCACACGCCTCACCGCAGTGCAGAAGCAGAGGGAGCCCGAGCCCGAGCCCGCAGCTGGCGCTGCCCACCCGACGGGAGGCCGAGCTCCGACAAGGGGACAAGGGCGCGCAATGGGAGCGGCTGCAAGTACAGGTGGAGCTTTGCTCACTCACGGCCGCTCACCTCCTGCTGTGTGGCCCGGCTCCTACCAGGCCGTGCACCAGTCCCTCTGCAGCCCAGGGGCTGGGGACCGCAGATCTATGGTAATGGACTAGGGAGAACTCAGCCCCGCCTGTTTGCTCAGATTCTCTCTGTGTCCTAGTGTCTTAGGGGTGAGGGTGCTCCTGTTCGCTGGGTAGTGGGAGGGTCTCTCTCCCAGGAGGGTCTTCCGACCCACTTCAAGGGAAGGTCAGAAAATCCTTCCTAGGTTTATGGCCTGCTTCAGAGGAGAACAGCAGGCTCACTCAGTGAGACTGTCCTGTACTTGCTGTTTCTCAAATCCCTTTAGCTTAAAATATTTAATTTGCCAAGCTGCCATATTTTGGGGTACATGTTCTGAACTCTATCCTATGTAAACATCACCCAAAATAAGATGTAGAAGATAATATTTCCATCATCCAGAAAGTTCCCTTTTGCTGTTTCCCTCCAGCCCCAGGCAGCTACTTTCTCATTTCTATTGTTACAGGTTAGTTTTGTCTATTTAAGAACTTTATATCAGTGGAATAGTGCAGTAAAGTACTCTTTTGTGGGGGACTTCTTTTGCTTAATGCAATGGTTTTGCAATTCATCTATGTTACATGCATCAATAGTTTATTCCTTTTTATTGAAAAATAGTACTGTGTTGTGTTAATACTGTTGGTTTATCTGTTTACCTGTTGGACATTTGGGATGTTTTGACTTTTTATTATTGTGTTTCAAGCTGCTGTGAACATTTTTATAAACATCTTTATGGACATACATTTTCATTTATCTGGAGTAACTATATAAAGGTGGGATTGCTAGATGATAGGTAAATACGATTAAAGTTGCAACACACTGCCAAGCAGTTCTCCAAAGTGGCTGGCACACTCAGCAGCAGCGCACGGGAACTCCATTGCCTCCACACACTCCCCAGCGCTTGGTTTCTGGGGAGTGTATAATGGAACTCATTGTGGGGTAAATTTGCATTTCCCTGATAATTTAAAAATGTTGATCGCCTTTACATACAAGTATTGGCTATTTGTATATCTTTCTTTGTGACATGACTATTTAATTCTTTTCCCAAGCTTTTATTGGGCTGTCTTTTATTGCTGATTCATATTTATATGTAATGTCTGTGACAGGGTTCAGTAGATACTGTCCCCAAATGTGACACCTGGCATTTGAGAAAATGGCAGAAGCAGAAGCTGTCTCCAATCTTCTCCTAGCATTCTCCCCTGAAGCAGGCATTAAAGAAAACTATCTAGGGTGGCTCACACCTGTAATCCTAGCACTCTGGGAGGCAGAGGCGGGAGGATCATTTGAGCTCAGGAGTTCAAGACCAGCCTGAGCAAGAGTGAGACCCCATCTCTACTATAAATAGAAAGAAATTAATTAGCCAACTAAAAATATATAGAAAAAATTAGCCGGGCATGGTGGCGCATGCCTGTAGTCCCAGCTACTCAGGAGGCTGAGGCAGGAGGATCGCTTGAGGCCAGGAGTTTGAGGTTGCTGTGAGCTGGGCTGACGCCACGCACTCTAGCCCGGGCAACCGAGTGAGACTCTGCCTCACCTCAAAAAAAAAAAAAGAAAGAAAGAAAATCTATCTCACCTTCCTCTAAAGTCGCTCATAAGACTCTCATTCCCGAGGGTGGCTGCACCCCTGTGACTGGAGGAGAGGAATAAGGACACAGAGAAGAATCTGATCAAACAGGCCTTGTTAAGTTCCCTCCGGTTTATCACCAATGAATCATGCTCCTGTCCAGTCCTATCTCCACATGACTGCGCTGCTCCTCAGCCCTAAGCAGACAGGTAGTTTCCCCTGTTGCTTTGGGTCTTCATGTCTGAAAGCTCCCTTGTCACCTAAAACCTAAATAAAGTGGGATGCTTTCCTTTTCTTGTTATAGGGATCTGAACTATGGCCCTTGTAAGGGGTAAGGAAAGGGCATTAACCCGTTGCACTCACTTGCTTTTTTCTGGATTCCTTTATTCTACTTGGGATTTAATTTTTTAAATACCCCAGATTTTACAAAGTATGGCAGTAGAATGAAAAACTGGAGTTTCTTTTCATACAAACTTATTTATTTGGAATTTTTTATATTTCAAATTATTGATACATTCAAAGAGTAATTTTAATCTCTATAATTTTTGCTAACTGTGTCGAATCACACTCGACATCCGAGTGCAAAGGGTTAATTTCTCTCCCCTATATGTAAATAAATAAGTATATTTATGCATTGTAGATATTTTTTTTTGAACCTGTGTTTGCAAGATTTATTTAAATTGTGTGATTATTTGGGGTGACTGATGGAGCGGCTAAATCCCCACCCAGGCCACTGCTCAGCGCCTGTGCCGCTTGGGAGCCTGAGCTGAGCCCAGCAGGGGATGGGGTGCAGGGACTGGCTGGGGGCACACGCATCCCTTAGGGAAAGGCAGGGGCCAAGAACCAGTGCCTCTACCCCCCCCAGATTTGGTTCTAAGAAGCAGGTATCGGGCTGCTCTCCCTCCTTGCATGGAGTGGTGACAGCCCCTGCGCAGGAATAAATAAAATTTGGCTAATTGAAAAAAAAAAAAATAAAAAGCAAGCATCACTTCCTCCCTCACTGCCCACCTCTCCCGCCCAGCCTAGAGCGAAGCCCTCCACCGCCGTCGCAGCTCCGGGTCCCAGCACGGGCTCCTCCTCCCCAGCCGGAGACCGCTCGTTCCCTCGCTGTCTTCTCTCTCGGGCCAAACTCTTCACGAGTGTGAATTTGGGTGGCTGAACGAATTCCATCCATGGCTGTGCTGTTGTTTACTTACTCATTCGCCTGCCAGCAGTTTCATTTCCCAACAGCACTTTATGAGGGCTTGAGTTCTCTGCATCCTCGCTAAAACTTGGTGCTGCCGATCTTTATCATCATAGCCACGCCAGTGAGTGTGGAGAGGTGTCTTGTCATTTGGATTTGCATTGTCATTTAGATTTGCATGACTAATGGTGTTCAGCATCTTTTCATGTGTTTTTTGCCCATTCATAGATCTTTGTTAGAGAATTGTCTATTCAAATCCTTTACTCATTTTTAAGTTGTCTTTTTGTTATTGGATTGTAAGAGTTCTTTATATATTCTGGATACAAGTCCCTTATCAGGTATATGATTTGCAAAAGTTTTGCCCCATTATGTGATTTGTCTTTTCACTTTTCTTTTTTTTAACATAATTCTTTTAGCTTTTCTTTTCCCTTAATTTTAATTGACATATAGTAGTATTTATGGGGTACAGTGTGATATTTCAATAATATATACAATGTGTAATGATCAAATAGGGTAATTTATCATACCCATCACCTCAAATATTTACTCTTTGTGTTGGGAACTTTCAAAATCTGCCTTTTTAGCTATTTGAAAATACACAATAAATTGTTCTGCTGGCAAAGTTGCAGAGAAAAGGGAATTGTTAAATGCTGTTAAACGCTGTGGGAATCTAAACTGGTATAGTCACTATGAAGAACAGTATGGAGGTTCCTCAAAAAACAAAAAGTAGAATGCCATATGATCCAGCAATCCCACTATTAGGAATTTATCCAAAAGAAAGAATATACCTGCTGCTTTTCTTCAGGAAGGAATAAAAAAAATAAAAAGAAAGAAAAATAATAAATTTAATAACAAAAAAACCAAAAGAAAGAATATTATCATATTGAAAAGATACCTGCACGCCTATGCTTACTGCAGCATTTTTCACAGTAACCAATATCTAGAATCAGCCTCGGTACCCGGCAGTAGGTGAATGGACAGACGAGATGGATATGTGCACAATGGAATCCCCTTCCGCGTGTGAAAGAGCAAGCCCTGTCCTTCACGGCAACAGGGATGGAGCGGGAGGACGCTATGCTAAGTGCAATGAGCCAGGAACAGAAGTTTAACACTGCATGTTCTCACTCATGTGGAAGCTGAAAAAAGGTTGATCTCATAGAAGCAGAAAGTAGAACAGAGGAGACTAGAGGTTGGGAAGGGTATGGGGAAGGGAGATATAGGGAGAGATCTGTTAAAGGATACAAAAGGACAGTTAGATAGGAGGAATAAGTTCTAGTGTTCTACACCGCTGTAGGATGACTGTAGTTAAGAGTAACATACAGTTTCATGCCTACAAGGAAGAGAATGTTCCTAACACAAAGAAATGGTAAATGTTTGAGATGATGGATGTGCTTAATTCCCCTGACCTGGCCATTATACATTGTATATGGAAACATTACTGCGTACGCCATGAATATGTACAATTATTATTTTCAGTTAAAAATTTAACAAAAGAATTCCCAGATATGATAACACATACTAGGGGATGAATAAAACTTTTCCCAAATAGAAAAAAATTTGTTGTTAATTACAGTCATCCCATAGTGCTATAGAGAAGTTATTCCCTTTGACTTTACCTCTCTCTCTCTCCCCTTTCCCGCCTCTATTAACCACTACTCTACTCTTTTTTTTTTTTGAGACAGAGTCTCGCTTTGTTGCCCAGGCTAGAGTGCCGTGGCGTCAGCCTCGCTCACAGCAACCTCAAACTCCTGGGCTCAAGCAATCCTCCTGCCTCAGCCTCCCGAGTAGCTGGGACTACAGGCATGCGCCACCATGCCCGGCTAATGTTTTCTATATATATTAGTTGGCCAATTAATTTCTTTCTATTTATAGTAGAGACGGGGTCTCGCTCTTGCTCAGGCTGGTTTCAAACTCCTGACCTCGAGCAATCCGCCTGCCTCGGCCTCCCAGAGTGCTAGGATTACAGGCGTGAGCCTCCGCGCCCGGCCTTACTCTACTCTTTATTTCTACAAAATAAACTTTTTTAGCTTCCACGTGAGTGAGAACATGCGGTATTTATCTTTCCGTGCCGGGCTTATTTCATTTAACATGATGTCCTCCAAGCTCCTCCGTGTTGGCATGAACGACAGGACTCTGTGTCCCGGGTGCTGGGGATGGCGCCGCGGGAAACGTGCATTTGGACGTCTCTTCAGTACACTGATTTGCTTCTCTTTGATACTCAGTGGGATTATTACTGAATCATATGGAAGTTCTGTTTTTAGCTGTTTTCCATGATGGCTGCACTAATTTACATTCCCACCAACAGCGTGTAAGAATTACTCCTTATCCGCATACTCACTGGCATTTATTTTTTGTCTTTTTGATAACAGACATTACAATTGGGGTGAGGTGATATCCCATTGCGTTTTTTATTTGCATTTCCCTGATGAGTGATATTGAGCATTTTTTCATATACCTACTGGCCATTTATGTCTTCTTTTAAGATATGTCTATTCAGTTCATTTGCCCATTTTTTAATCGGGTTATTTTTTGCCATTGAATTGATTTACTAGTATATTCTGGTTATTAGTCCCTTGTCAGATAAATATTTGCAACTTCACTCTGTTCATTGTTTTCTTTGCTGTGCAAAAGCTTTTTTTAGTTTGATATAATCTCATTTGTCTAATTTTGCTTCTGTTGTCTATGCCTTTGCCTTCTCTCCATAAAAACCTTTGCCCTGTCCAATGTTCTGAAGCATGTTTTCTTCTAGTAGTTTCATGTCTTTCATTTAAGTCTTTAATCCATTTTTAGTTGATTTTTGTATATGGTGAGAGATAGGGGTCTAGTTTCACTCTTTTGCATATGGATACCCAGTTTTCCCAACACCGTTTATTGAAGAGACTGTCCCTTCCCCAAAGAATAGTCTTGGTGTATTTGTCAAGAATCAGCTGGCTATAAATACAGTGGATTTATTTCTGGGTTCTCTATTTTGTTCCATTGGTCTATGTGTCTGTTTTTATGCTAGTACCATGATGTTTTGGTTACTGTAGCTTAATATATTTTGAAGCCTGACAGCGTGATGCCTCTAGCTATATATTTTTGCTCAGGATTGCTTTGGCTATCTGGGGTCTTTGTGATTGTTTTTACTATTTCTGTGAAGAATGCCATTGGTATTTTTTTTTTTTTTTTTTGAGACAGAGTCTCACTCTGTTGCCTGGGCTAGAGTGCCGTGGCGTCAGCCTCGCTCACAGCAACCTCAAACTCCTGGGCTCAGGCAATCCTCCTGCCTCAGCCTCCCAAGTAGCTGGGAACTACAGGCATGCACCATGCCCAGCTAATTTTTTCTATATGTTTTTAGTTGGCCAATTAATTTCTTTCTATTTTTAGTAGAGACAGGGTCTTGCACTTGCTCAGGATGTTTTCAAACTCCTGACCTTGGACAATCCTCCTGCCTCTGCCTCCCAGAGTGGTGGGATTACAGGCATGAACCACCACGCCTGGCCACCATTGCTATTTTCATAGGGATTTTATTGAATCTATAGATAGCTTCGGATAGTATGGACATTTTAA